TGTCCACATCACACTCTGCCTCCTGCAGATCTCCCCCCAAACCACCTCCTTCATCCCCCTGAAGACTCCTCCTTTGAGAGGACTTTGATGTGAAAAGTCACTGTAACGGCAGAGGGACCGCTGCCCTCCTGACTGCCCCATCTCGGCACACACGACCCTACGCAGCAACATCTCCCCAGTTCAGGCAAATTCCCCCCACTCTTCCCCCGTGCCTGGCAAGCCAAAGGTCTCTCCTTCGCAGGAGACCTTATGCCAATCTCCTCCCTAAAAAATGTCTTCCCAGAGCTGCCTTCGCTCAGCCCCTCACCGATAGAGCCCAGCTCTATCTCATAACCAGGCAGGGCTGGCCGGCATCCAGCTTTCTGCTGCAAACAAGATAGAAAAGCTAAATAGCTCTATTTCTTCACCCCTGTAATTTACAAAAAGGGAAGCTGCACTCCATGACCACTCTTCAGCCTTTGATGTATGTCGATGTGCCCTGTAGCCTTGCAATTTTTTCCCCCGCATCATCATAGGATAATACTAAGTGTGTGTTAACATAAGAGCTGCCAAAGATGTCTGAAAGGCTTGTCTGTCCCTCTGCAAAGGGAAATCCTCCCCCTCCCTGCCATATACACTTACCGCTCCAGAAATTAATTCTTCTTTGAGCTATCCAGAAGTGCAGTTGCCTTTCTGGCATTGTTCTTTTTTGGTTATTTGCTATTTCTGACATTCTACTGAAAAGGAAGTAGAAAAATTGGCACAACACATGGAAAGGAGTTTCCTCGTGTGACAATAACACAAGACAAGGCAGGACAAGACAGGGATTTAATTCGCCTGTTATTTTTAACAGATGTTGACTACAAAAGAATGGGGTTTACTCATTTGCATGTATCAGTGCCTTTTGATGATGAGTTAAGGGGAGAATTTTGGCATTGCTTTTATACCGATGGGCCCTCTAGTCAGATTTAATGTGCGTACAGATAAAGCTCACCAAACTTCTTTAGAAGAAAGATCTAAAAAAAATTTCTCCACATCATCCCTAACTAAATGAGTGTATGTACTCATTTATGTAGTTTCCCAAAGACTCGGCTTTCCATCTTGCTTTTTAGAAAATGGCTTTGAATGTTTTCCCTGTTTAATCTTCGAGGTGAAGCCCTTCACCTTTAATGAGATAAGAAGTTCTAATCATTTGAGAACATTTACATGACCTCTTTGACATGCCACAGATATGGAAATCTCAGGAATATCCGACTGAAATCCATGTAGATGAACAGGCTAATGAACATCTCCACTATGTATTGAGTTTGTACTCCAAGGGATGCTTCGCACAATGCCAGCTCGGATGTTGCTGGCAAAACCAACCACCTACTATTTTACTGAAAGGAGGAGCCTCCGTATAGATGCACATTTTAGGAAGACTTGGTAATTCTTGTCATGCAAAGTTTTTATGGTTATTGCAAAATGCAGAACCCAGCACGTATTTCAAAATGCTCAGGAGATCTGAGCCCGCCTGTGCCTTGCCGGGAGCCCTGGTGCGAACCGCAAGCAGAAATTGTTTGCAGCTGTCCCCGCTTCCTAGGAAGGGACACACGTGGCCAACTGCATCTTCATAAGGGATGAAATTGTCAGTTGGCCTTTTCTTGCCATGTTTTTAGCTTGTCCTTCCTCTTAAAGCTGCAAAATCCAAGAATTGCAGGAAAATCTCAGTTTGGTCGGAGTTAACAGAAGGCATGGGAGGTCAGGAAGGCGTGTTGCCACCCCACCTCCCTGCCCCAGGGAGCTGCCAGCTGAACAGACCGAGGTGCTCGGGGCTGAGCTCACTTGCTTTCTTCTTTCTCTTTCTTTCTCTCCCTTTCTCTTTTCTTTCATTCTTTTGAACTAGAACAATTCTTTTTTCTCTGTGTGGCTTTTAATTCTCTTGAACGAAACGCCCTCTTTTTGTCTATGCAGCTGATAGAAAGACGCTAACTGTTCTCGCAAGCAGTTCCACGGGTTTGGATGTGCTCAGTGGCTGCAAAAGAATTCGAAGGGAAAGGAAGCACAAGTGCCAACTAGATTAAAAAATACTTCCATATTTTTAAAATACGATTGAAAGGATGAGGTGCCTCCATGCTTCACAGCTGAAGGGTGAGTTGCTGAGCTGCAAAATGTTCCCTCTTCCACTAACAGAAAACTCTTGGCCTGTTGTACTCTCATGAAACACATTTCTAGGGGGGTGTTATTGCCTGTAATGGTGCTGGACTCAGAGCTGCTGGCTTCTCCTTGCCCCACTGCTCCTGGGGAGTAATAGATACTGCAAACTCTGCAGCTGCTTAAAACTCCTCCAAGTCTTTTGTGCTGATTATTTTTCTTCCCAAGATTATTTTTAATACTGATTGGTGTTGCAGTCCAGCTCACAGTGCAGCCCTACGGTGGTACTTAGGAGGCAGAAAGGATTAATGGCTGCAGGAAGAGGTGGCAGAAGCAACAGTGGGCACAGAGAAATGCCTCTGGTGATGACTCAGTGGGAGGTGCGAGGAGTTTGGACCGTGCCAGGTCCAGCTGCCCCATGATGCAGGGCCACATTCATACGGTGTAACCTGGAGAACATAGTACACGCCGGGGACTGGGAGAGGAGGACGGCGTTTCGCTAGCTCCCGACAGCAAATCCATCCCGAGGTGCACCTGGGACCACAGGACTTGGCTCTGCTTAGGAGGATATTCAGCCGTGTCAGCCTCAGAGGGTGAGGTTTTGCAACATGCTTATTTCAGTGTCATTGCAGGCGGATGATGACAGCAGCGATGCCTTGTCCCCATCTCCCCACCGCGGCTGCCGCTCCTGCCCCTCTCCTTCGTGGAGCCTTGGGATGCGGTGGCCATGCAGCCAGCTGGGCTTGCTGAGCCGCCCGCGAACCGATCTCCCTTTGCTTTCAGCCTGGAGAGTTTTCTGTCTGATCAACGGCATGATCTGAGTAACCACACGGTTGCGTAGTCGTTAGGCGGATGCAAACGGCAGGAAAGTGGCAGAGGCTGGGGTGGCAAAGGGGAATGGCATCCCCTACACAGGGATGCAGGTGGCAACTGTTTTCTGCAGGATGCTGAGGCTGTCCACTGGGGATAGTCCCATCATGGACGGGCATTTCATGTTGGGAGGAGGGTAATAGTGTCTATGCCTTGCAAACACCAAGTGAGAACAGAAAATAGGATGAGTTCTGATGGTGACAACAGGGACAAGAAAAATGCTGTGCCCTTCAGGGCGTAAAGACAGCTTGAAAAATTATGCTTAGGGAGGATGGAGGAGGAGGGGAGAAACATCTGTGCTTGTTTATTCATTCATGTTTCTACTAGCCTTTATTATATTTAGACTCTGCTAGATGTTAGTAGAAGTATTTTGCATCTAATGATGATCTAGGGAGCAGGCATGCTCTATGGCAGCCTTTACAGCTCCTCCTGGCCCAGGTTTCCTTACACATATTTGACGCTTTTGATGCAGGTTACGCTGCACTGTCATCTGACGGAGGTGTAAGCTCGGATCTTTTTTGTTCTGTTGTTTTGCTCTGTATTTTCTTTGCTAGCGAGCTGTAATCAAACAGGAGCAGAGGGAAATCAAACGTCATTAAGCACCACGAGACCTCTGCCCTTTTTGAGCTGGCACAGGGAAGTCCTTCATTTCTTTGACAGCTAAATGGGAGAAAACAAAACACAATGTTGCTTGTATTTCTAAACAGTCACCGGAATGAAAAATCATCGATTCTGAGATGAAAGAATTAATCTTACAGGTGGTGCTTGAAAAACGGTGGTGTCTGTGTTTGATTTGGAGAAACACTAAGCTGGGACATTGTTATAGCCTCTTTGGGTGCCTTTACCCCTTAGAGAGAGTCAGAAAACCAGAACCAGCTTATTGCTTCTTAGAATGTCTGTCAAGAACATCAGGCATACAATGCAATTTCTGTAAACTGCTTTAATCTGATCTTACTTTCTGTAATAGTGATGTTTAATGATCCTTTGTCTTAACCTGCTTTTCTTTTTCCCTGGTCTAACGGGAAGATTCTTCGAATGAAGGGAGAAGAAGGAAACAAAGCTAGCAGTCTCAGCAGCTCGCAGCCGTGCCAGCTTTGCACTGTTAGAAAGGAACTAGCTGAGTGGGTCTCTCCCGACATGCGAAAACATCATTTTCCTTTTGCTATATCCTGATGAATTGTGCAGAACTCTCTCTGGTGTTTACAATGAGAGTTAATTTGGCTGAGGACTCATCAGAAGCCTTAAAAGCACAGCTCCCAGCCTTTCCAGTACGAGGGCTGGCTCTGAAACCCTTTTGGTGTCTGACAGTCACTCTGCAGGACCCATCCTCAAATAAAGATCACCGTGCAAGACAGATCTGGACCTTTTACACTTTATCACATCCTGTCTTACTGTTGCAGTGGGTTTTTCACTCGCGGGCTTTATTCGATGCTGTCTCGGTGTTGTGGCCGTGAGTTGTGCTCTGTGCCCAATGCGTGCTCTCCAGAGCCTGTGCATGCGATGGTGCGTACCATGAAACACTGCCTGTCCTGATGCTCGAGTGGTGCAGAGCAACCCAAGCAGGGCTGCGGTTTCTCATGCAACACCAGCAAGAAGGATGTGCCTCAGCCTTTGTTAGGAATGGTTTTAAACCAGATGCCCCAGGGGGAGTGGATTGCTGGGCAGATCTGTTGAGATTTGTACTTCCATTCAGCTCCCAGTTCCTCTCTTATCTCTCACATATTTTGTCTGTGCTGCCTTTCCCATTTCCTCATAACTTATTCCTGGAAAAGGGAGGGTGGGAACGGAAATACTCCATTAAACATCTCTCTGCCAATTTACATTTCCACAGTGCATATGGTAATGGACAAGCCAGACTCCTCCTTGGTTTAAGCACCACATAGAAATCTTCCCTGTCCAGTTAGACCAAACCTACACGATCAGCTACCACAGCTGTCTGCCACATCAACAAGGACTAAAGCTGTCCAGAGGAACTTCTGATCAAGAAATCAGATTTTCTAGGGTCCGGAAGAGTCAATATGTTGGATCGGATTCATCTGCTGGCTGCCGTGACAGTCCTGGGAGTCCTGGAGCAAGGTAGGGACCATCGGATGCACATGCCCAAGTACTCGCTGGGTCAGTCTACTGCACCTCCGCTGATTTCCTTTCACTTCCCTATTTCATTTCTGCCGTTGCACTGGCACTTTCCTGCTTTTCAGACAGTGGACTGATACCTTGTCTGTGTTTTGAAATGTATTCAACAAAACGAGTGCCCGGGAAGCCCTTCCTCTGAACCGACCTACCTCCTCAGTTCAGGTATTTCTTGGTAGATCTCCTCTGCAAATCTGTAGAATTTCTTTCTTTGAAAAATGGGTTTACAGCAGTTCCTGAGGTCCGTGTAGACGTTAGCATACAAAGAGCACTTCAGTGCAGAAAAATGGAAGAATGGGCTGGGGTGGGTCATGCAGAATGTCTCCCAGCCATGGTTCCACATTGCATGACAATTTAACTCAATGTCTGGGTGGCTTATCTGTGGCATCAGTTCCATCCCTACTCACCTATCAGGTTTTAGAAAGGGAAAAAATTAAAGATTGAAAGAACCTTAAAATTGGCAGTAGCAAAGTGCATCTGAACTGTGTAACAATTTCTATAGATGGTTGATGATTTGTTAATTACACAAGAGAGAAAGCAGATATCTGCTGGTGCTATGTGACTGCATACTCCTTGCTTCACAGTTGCAACAGGTCATTCCTTTTCCTTGTCTGAAAGGTATGTGGGATTTCTGTCCAGCTTTCTCTGCTATGCAGGGGTGCAAGGTTAGGAGGAGACTGCAGAGCTTTTGCCCTTACCTCTGGCAGTCTCCTAGCCCCACCGTGCCCAGCCAGAGGACTGACCACTGCTACTTTTCTCTCTTTTGCTGCAGCCTACTTCTTCCTCCAGGTGATCTATGCCAGGAGGGCATTTGGCATTTCTCCTCCAAAGATCTCAGGCCCACCTGAATTTGAGAGGATCTTTCGAGCACAGTAAGAAACTCCTCATATAATATGCTTTCCAGACATCAGGTCTAATGGCACTGCCCCTCCTCTGCTTTGCCATTCATTTCTTGGGACCCCCAGAGTAATTCAACAGTTACCCACCTCCCTTGGGGTTAAGTTCGTGGATTTAAGAGTCAGTATCCAGACTGCATTGGCTCATGAGTCCTAAACACACCAGCCATTGCTGATAGAAACCACACAGGGTTTATGGCTGCTAAAGACAAAGTTGTGGGTGCCCGAGTCTTAGGCTCGTTTTAGCCAAGCGGTGTCAAAGCCTCAGGCAGCTTCAGCCCTGCTGTGAACCCCACCTGCTGCAGAAGACAAGCTCCCAGAGAGCTCGCAGCCAGGGCTGGGATGGGGATAGCCACAATCCAGCATCTCTGCCATGACTCCTGTGCTAGGGCTGCAGTGGGAAGGGAAGCAGAGAGGGAGAAGTTTCAACTTTTTTTTTTAGCTGAGCACTGAAAAAAACCCCAACTGGGCAGCAGGAGCAGGATCCCCTCAGCCATCCCCTTCTCTGCTCCTTTGCCAGTCTAGACTCAGCCTCATCCAGCATCTCTTGGTCCTATTCCTTTGCCTTTGGAGGGGGGACAGGGCTGTACAGAGAGCCCAAACAGCTGAGTGCTCCCTCCTGCTCCTGCATGAAGCCCAAGCTGCTCTAGCCCTATCTGCTGAAGACGCACTTCATCCTCAACGTGTCTGCAGCCTGCTGGGGCAGACCCTCATTGCAGCTTTGGGGCTTTTACAGCAGGGTGTAAGCTGCAGCACTCAGGAAGGGGCAGTGGGGGTGGTTCACGGAGCCTTTCTGTGCATGGTCTGACCTGGGCATCTTTTACTAAATTTCTCGTGCCCCAGAGTGTTAATTCCTGTGACTAAAGGCGGGACAGAAACTGCGGGGAAAGCCTGGAGGCTTTTTATGGTGATGCTCGCTCTAAAAAGCAACAGCCTCCAGCCTCTGGAAACTGCTAAGGGAAGTAAAAAAGGAAGATCTTCTTCCTTTCTCTTGTTTATGACCTTCCTCTTTCCTGCCAGGGTGAACTGCTCTGAATATTTTCCCATCTTCCTGGCACTTCTGTGGCAGGCTGGACTCTTCTTTCATCAAGGTGAGAACAGCTCGTTACCTGGTTTGTCACTGGATTTGTTACCTTGAGTGCTGGCTCAGTCCTCAGGTTCTGCTCACCTTCTGAACAATAAACGAGGCAGTAACTCTGTCTCTGATGGGAGGATAGAGCCAGACGACACAGAGCCTCTCTTCCTCCACTTTGGGCTACCTGCTTAGCTCAAAGTAGCTCTAAGAAGCCTTTGGAGAAGGTCACTGTGGTCTTTTCAACTGCAGGTCTGGCTGCAGCCTTGGGTCTGCTCTATCTCTACGCCCGCTACTGCTATTTTATGGGATACAAAGCATCGTCCTCGGAAAGGTAAATGGCTCTGCCAGCCTGGAGCGCGTGGTAACCCCTGGGGGTTTGCATTTGGGAACATAATGTGTTTCAGGGAAGCTTGGGACTACCTCTGGCTGCTTTGGGGTCCCCGCATGACTCAGCCTTGCTGAGCAGTCCCCAGGGCACAACGTGGGCACGGGTACAGGGCTGGGGCCAGAGATACGGATAGGTGCAAGGCTGGAGCTGCCCCGAGCCCTTGCATGTGTGTCTGTGCGCTCCCTCGAGGCAGGACCAGGGCACGGGACCCCATGCAGCAGGCAGGGGACAGCCAGGGGCTGCCTTTCCACCCCTCTTCTGCAGAGAGGAAGGGACTGTTCCCGGGTGAGAGCGGCAATGCTCCGTCTCAGCAGGCTCCCTCTCTCCCACCAGGCTTGCCCCGATATACTTTGGCACCGGAGTTCTCTGGATTCTCGTTGCAGCGTCAGTGCTGGGCATCTTGCATTTCTTCCTCTCTCACTACGTGGGGCTGAACCTCCTGCAGCTTCTCACAGCGTGACCCACTCCTCTGTCCCTCATCTGTGTCCTCGCCTTCAAGTCCTGCTCCCTCCTGCCGCAGTAACAGACTGGCTGTAACTAATACAGCTCTCAGCAACAAATCCACCCTCACCTGAGTTTTTAACACCTCCCTCCCCACTGCCCAGCGCCGGCAGAAACCACTGAGCTCTTCAAGAGGTATTTTTTCCCCACAGCACTCTGTGTGCCAAGTGCTCCGTATCAGACAGCTGTGCCATGCCTGATGCGGAAACAACAACGCTCCAAAACAAGGAGGATTTTAGGAAAACCAGACACGTAAAAGCAAACCCATCTCAGCCTGAGCTTCCCAGGGGGCTGCTCAATGGAATCACCGTGCGTTCCCCTTCCTCCTATGATTCTGCTTTCAGCCCAGGCACTATCCATGGGTTCATGCCAGTTTTCGAAGGCCCACACCTAAGAAAGGCATTTATTTGAAAACAAGTGTGGGCTGAGGCATAGCAAAAGAGGCGAGGGATAAACAGGAGCAACCACCACCATGTTGTGCGAAAGTCTGTTAGTGCCCTCGTAATGGTTACTAGCCATTGCCCGTGGGCAATACTGTAAATCAGACCAAATTCATAACCTCTACTGCATATACAACTTTGAATACTGCCGAGAGACAACGTGCACAAATAAAAAGGCAGTGAGCTTGCTGTGCTGGGTGTCTCTTTGTGGGTCTGCGACTAGCAGAGAACAAAAACCTGGGTGTTTGAGTGCAAGGCAGCTGCCTTGGTTTCCCTGCCGTGCAGTGCAATGCAGCCTGTGACCTTACATCCCACGGGGAGAGAGCTCTGAGCAGGGAGAAGCTGACTTTCAGAGGTGCCGAGGTCCCGGATTGGGGGCTGAGCTGCTCAGCACCAAACAGTGGTCCCTCCCGGATGGTTTGGTGGGTGCTCGGGTTCCCCTCCGGGCTTGGCCCCCTGCGGCAGGAAGAGCTGGATTTTCACGGGAGCTCAGCGTTCACAATGCTGATGCTTTTGGCCATCGGTCTGCTCATGTTAGCAACACAACTCTGAAAACACCAGCACTGCTCCATGCCATCATCACGGGGAGACTTCATGCCAAACATAACTGCATTAATGTGCTGCCAGTCTAACCACATTTTAAAGCCCACCATCCTCCCCTCCTTTTCCCAGCAGTTTGTACATCTAGATTAAGAACAAAAGGCAGGGGGTTTTTGGAAGAAGTGATTCATTTTTCACATTGTTTCATTTCCTTCCCTTCGTTTTAAATTGACTTATCCAGCAAAGCCCCCAGTCCATTTCTCTTTCAGGCTCTCCTGCCTTGGAGTCGTGCTGCTGTGTTGAAGTTGGCAAACACTGCAGGGGAAGGCTTAAATCCAAACAAAAATAACTGTACAGCACTTGCCTCTGCAAAGTTTTCAGTGCTGCAGGGCCCCATCTTCACAGGAACCCCCAGTGTCACAGCAAGATAAACAACAACAGAATAACTTTTTTCCTAGCAGCTTTGGTAATACACGTTGGAAAAGGCTGAGCATCATTTAACGCTGGCTGTGCCTTAGCAAGGCCAGGGAGGAAGAGACACGCCACCTGCCCCCAGTGAGATTTTACTTAGCCTTTACATTAACACTTCTCACCATCTCCTGAAGTTACTTCTCAGTCCTCACCTTTTCACCAGCGTAACCAGTCACCTCCCAGCGGGTTAATACAAAAGGACCAGCCCCAGCTGCCTGTGCGGGTGCAAGCTCTGTGTCAAAACCCCCGCTATCTCCGGTTAGTCCAAGTGGGTGTTCGCTGGTTCTGCAAACACACCTCCACCTTTCACCCTGCAATCAGTTTTCTAACCCCGCCGTATCAGCCCGGAGCCACTACCCACCTCAGCCCCGCTTCTCTGGGCTCTGCGTGTGACAGGGCTGCAGAATGACTCAGAGGAGGGAAGTTAATGATTCAGCAGCGAGGCTGTGGCAAGCCGGCTTTCTCCCGCTGGATGCACAGAAGACCATTGAAAATCCTGGCGCAGCACAGCCACAGTCTGGCCCCAGCTGCCCGCCGTTGCTAGCTCCGCCACCGAAAAACTGCCCAGCACATCATCCCCTGCAAATAATGGTCAGAGGGGTCGTTTCAGGTGCCTCTAGCAGAAGGAAAGCTCCTCCCCTCCACCCAGGGATGCTGTCATCACTCTGCTACTTCATAACTATCATCAAACAAAATCACTTTGCACCGGACCATGGTTCAAGGATGCACCCAATGGTTTCAGGATTTACCCAATTCAAATACCGCATGGCACGTAGCTCTGGTGCTGTATGAAACTACTCTGCCCACCTTCATCTGCTGCAGAGATGCTGAGGAGCCAGGTTTGGTCTGGCGGGGTGTGTGCTGGGTGGGCCAGGGTCTGTCCGTGCCACCCCAAGGTTACGTGGCTCCGGGGTCACCATCCAGCTGGTGCACAGGCCGTCCCGGGAGGCCCAGTTTAACGGCAACCCAGCTGCTGGC